AACAGGGGCAACCGCCCACACATTAGCCTAGGGTTTATCGAAAATGATGGATGACCTATGTGACTTGGGGAGTAAAAGTAGTTACTATAACATCCACGAAATTCCCCTCTGACATCAATCAACATATGGCCATTATCGACTGGCTCAAAGAGGTATTTTCTGGAGTTCTAGTGAGAGGCAGTAACCAGTGGAGTTCAACCAGGTCTGTTGTGAGATAGTGACTCACTGAAGACAATGGTGGATGGTTGCTCAATTTCGTGGATTAGTTGCAGTTAAGCATTAAAATTGTTGGATTCCGGCTCAGTGGTCTAGAGGTTAAGTGTTCGCGCGTGATACTGATGGGACCTGGGTTCAAATCTTGTGAGGTGGGATCGTGTATGCGCACAGCTGAAAAGTCCCACAATAGGAAAAAAACGGCCATCCAGTGTTTCGAGGTTTTTCATGGTGGTCTAGCTTCAATTGACTGATGATCTCAACTATTAAAATTTCAAATAAAGGACTTAGAAGTCCTCCCATGGCAGTGATCGAAAACTGTTAGTGTCAATTGTTTTTCCTCCACAATAACGGAAATCATTGTATAAGGTAGAGCCCTTCTATACATGAAATCTTTTCTATCAAACATTAAGTGTACACTGGATAACTTGTTTTACCAAGTCTATGTAGTACTTCCAGTCTCACAGAACGGCCTGTCTGACTGAAGTCGTCTATATAAAGCCTAGTCGTGAAATCTAGTGCAACCGTTGGATGTTGTAATTTTTACGTTACTCTCGTGCTTTACGAAACAGTCACGCCACAAGTCACAGGCATTATAAGCTTATGATGACTGTGATGCAAGGTAACATCGAGGCGATCCACACAGGATGTACATATGCCACTAAGTAACTGATCAATTGCAGTCCTAAACACCAGTGGGTAGACTCAAATAAACAGTACGAAAATGAATCAAAACTTCATCCCCTTGTAGAACTAGTGGCTATCTGGACTCCGTAGCTAAGTAGATAAGGCGATGGTGTTTGTAGCGAACAGTACTCGGTACGAGTTACACAGTGAACATCAACTATGAGACGCAGGTACGTCCAACCGAAGAGTCTCAAATAAGACGAAACACATGTCGCGGATCCTAAAACCAGACACCATCCAACTTAGTCATGCCCGAAATTTAAAAAACTTCAACCTTACTGAATACACATAGTGAAGAGATTGACTTCACCAACTCTTAGATTATTTACCTCAGTGAAAAACCGTTACTTGAGAATGTAAAATCAAGGACTAGACAAGTCGTCAGATGATTTGTTTCAGTCGCCAGGAGCAGATAGCTACCTATCATGAGTTTTCAGAGGTGCTATGTATTAACTAAACTTATCAGATCGACAAATGTAGGTTATTATCGAATATTAACAACTTTATTTTAGTTTTCCCACTGTCCAAGATAGTCGTAACAATAGTCTTGGACAGTGACACACCGTTGTGTATGATCTTTGCAGACAAGTGAGACGAGAAAACCTTGCTGATTTCCTCAATTATGGAGAGCAAAGCTTATATATCAGATTGCCTGAGTTTTAGTGGCTATTCCAACCATCTGAGATCAGTTTACTGTCTGATCTACTCTAACTAGTTTGCAGAGTTAACGCGGCTTCCTCAAAATGCTCTTAAAACACGGAGTGAGCACAGCACACTATTGACGTAACTGTATGCGAACGGCACAGCAGGAATTTCAGCCTTTGACGAACACATAACAAAATCTTACCTCCTACGTATTGTTTTTGAAGTATTCCAGCTAGGACAGTGGAAAAATCGCAAATAATGTTGTTATTCGGGTGGAGCTAAAAATCCTCTCCACCATTTCTAAGTCGTTATTATTTTGTATTCACCCGAATTTGCTGGTCTGATCAGTTGAGTTAAGACATAACATCACTGGAAACGCGCAGTAGATAGCTATTTACTCCAAGAGACTGAAGCAAAATGTCGTAATACCATTTTCTTGGAATACATTTACTTATGTTCTACTAAACGCGCTGAAGATTTTTCATATGATTGGCGTATAAAATCACTGGTAGATAGAAGGTACACTTTGCAATCTAGCTGCAAATAAAATGAGTGTACGTCTTAAAGTTCATGCCGCCTTTTGTTCTTATCCAAACGTGGACCTAAACAAGGGGTTGTTTGTCAGTTTTGGTGTCACAAAGTGCTTCTTGTCCTTCTTGGCAGTAAGAAAAACGTTTGACTTATTTAATGGATAGAAGCGCAGAAGATAATAGATGATGAGTTCAGAATTCAACTCCACATCCCCAAAACCCTCCGTGTTACACTGGACAGTATCCGATAATTAGAGACGACGCTACAATGGGTCTATCCACTAACCAGGGGTAAAACTGTAGAGACATCGGTTCCTAGCTAGATGGTACTTGAAGCTGAACATCCAACAACTGAGAAAACCTTTACTTACTTAGACTTAAATCCCACAAACTCTAATATCAGAGTTAGATTAAAAAGACATTGATCTATCATCTAGTCACCTGGCAAACAGTAGTTTGCATACATTTGACCCTAACTTCATTAAAATTTATATGGGCCCCTGAGCTAGGAAACTGTAGTATGGTAAATGCACTCTTTCCGAAAAAAATACATTCTCTCATTGTTGCGCAGCCACTTGAAACGAATAGGCCTTCCATATTACTCTAAAACACTCGATAAACCTGATCATCAAGTGCTTCGCCGGAAAGTGAAATCTACAGGTATTAGTAGGCGTTTGGTGGATTGGCTTTTAGACGTCTCAAGTTAAACGTCACCAGCAACCATAGTTCCCTCTGCATTCTTTAGGTGGTTTGTAATCTCAGACGGAATATCAGAAGACTGAACCCTTGAATCACTCCTCACATTGTTAATTGATTATCTCCTTTGTCATCAGGATTCTCAAACTATTATATGTCGACGATCACGGGAATTAAAGAGAAATACAGGGTCCCTCAGGTATTTCAACGTTTTGGGGAAACGTATGCAGGACATAGAACTGAATTACCAACCCCCCCTCACCGACCTCACGCTGGTGATTCTCTATGATACATATTGGTATTATATCAAACTCGTACTTTCCAAGTGTCGCTAGTATTGTACACTTAGTCCCAGAAAATAACCACAGCGGTAGCCTACGTGATATTTAAGAAGCATCTGTCCATTGCCGTTCTGCTGCCAAAAAATCAGTTTGTATTCGGATTTCTTTCTGGAATCCCGTCTGGAAAACTATTTAGAATCGTTTTTAGTGTTAATAAACCCCAGTATTATGAATCCTTACCTAAAGAAACGTCCCATCATCTTAAGATGTATTCTGAAAAAAGACACGAATGAACGTTTCGAATGTGCAACATGAGCTCAACGGATTATTTGAAGGGTAAGATCTGATTATATTGAATCAGATTGGTCGTAAACATCACCTCAATATATCACTTATACGTTTCCGTAGTGAATCGCATTTACAAGGGTATCCATTTATAATAATACGAAGAGCGTGCACAAAACCTTATGCAGGCGTTTTCACGGCTAAAACTGCTAAGTTATGAAACAACCAACGAGAAAGGACAATAATGGTAGTTCTAGTGAATCTTCTGAAAGGAGGCTCGAAGATTACTTTAGTTCTGTAAGTAGTAAGGTAGACTACTATAGGTCTTCATACCCCACTACTCTTTCCGTTATTAACCAACGTTTTTCCCCTTCGCACTCAAAAGGAAAATAACGAGAATTATGTTACTCAGTAATCAAAATCACTATCCTACGTCCCAAAGATGCATCGTATGGAACAAACAGTTCATTGATTCTGCTCAGCTAAGTTGAAGAGAGAAAGAGGAACTGGACATCCTCCCTGCGAGAAAATAGAGACAACACAGCGACAAGTACCTTTATCTAGTAGTGCCATTTAAAACTAAGTAGGTCACCGTAAATGTCCAGTGATTCCAGATATGCTTGTTTTGCGAAATTAATAACAGAGATAGGCAACATGACCTAAGAAGTTATCAGGGACTGGACACAGAAGAACTAGTTCGTAAGAGGCTAGGAACCTTATTATAGTCTGTGATTTGTAGAAATGGCTTATTGTTCAGCGAAATCTATTCAAATGGTTCAATTGGTTGAGGACGGAACAGAAGAAGCTTTCGCTTAACAGGCTTCCGTCACTAGCAGCAGTTGATCACCAAAACCTCCAAGCAAGAACCGAGGTATATTAACGATAATAGAGGAAAAAAAAGAATTTGGTTAATCATAATAATATGTTATCCTTAGTCCTTAAGAATAAGTCAAGTTTCCTCTTAAAGGACTCCTGAGAGCTCGCTTGGACTAGCTCGGTCGGCAGCGAATTCCAGCACTTGACAACTCTAACGGAGTGGAAGTTGTGTCTGCAGTTTGTTCTGCTATGTAGGGTCTCCAATTTCTGGGTGTTACCTCTGAGGTTAGTGTTATGACTAAGCTTAGGAAGATGACCAGAAGTATTAAGGATACTATAAGTCATAAGAAGGTCACCTCTAAGACGCCTGTACTCTAACGGGTTAAGGTTAAGTGATTGGAGGCGCTCTTCGTAAGGTTTGAATTTGAGTCCCCGAACTGATTTCGTGGCTCGACGTTGAATACGTTCCAGAGTGTCCTTATCCTTTTGGAGGAAGGGAGGAAATACTATGTTTCCGTACTTTAAATGGGGACGAATAAAACTGTTGAAGATTATGTGGAAGGTTCTACTACTAGTTCTAATAGTTGTAGATGGAATAGAAACTCTCTAATAACGGCCTTCTATGTCTAGGAAAAGTGTGTCGCCAAGTCCTACAGGTTTGAACCTGGCTAAGCAAAAAAGCAGAAGCAAACATCAGCAAATTGGTATGAAATACTATCGACGAGTTATAATAAATTAAGCTACCAGATACCAAGATTAGTTTCGTTTTTGACAGTTTTTTGGTGAATTTACAGAAAGATCATGCATAAAACTTCGAACATATGTAGTATATACTGGTAAGTTATCGTTTTTCTCAATTGTTAGGCGTGAGTTTGAGAGGACTGGAAAAGTTCGACCGCGCAGTATTTAAGTTACGTCTAAGCAATGGCAACTGGGAGTTCGGGTGATAGCTACTATTGCCACTCCTGCGAAGCTGAGGTCGTCCCAAACTTGCAGGTTATTTTAAAATAACGTTCGCTAATTATTGTTCAGGACTTTACATGCTCAGCGTGTCACTCAGGTTTCATTGAAGCAATTAGCCCAGGGTAATTTACTTTCTGCTCCTTTCCTATTGTTTTCAGAAGTGGTTTATCATCGAATCCAACAGAAGTATATATCTGTCATTCTAACCTTTATTTATAACAGTTAGATGCAATGCAGATGATAGGTCAGCTATTTGGAGGTTCGCTTAGCGATAATTTTGTTCGCTATTTTGCAGCACCTAGAGATGATCTTAGTTCAACAGATGATGAGTCATTAGAAAGGGAAAGTTTATCTAGAAGGTCGCGACGATCGACAAGAAATTCAAATCATAGGTCGACACGAGAACGTGTGTATACTCGTGTTCCTGATGGTCGTCATGCTTTTTCCACTCGTATCCAGTTATCAAGTGTGGATCATCCATTCAGATTGCCATTCTTATCAAACTTCGGATCAGCTGATGGAGATATGCAAAATTTTGTTTTTAATAGAGGTATGTTTTTCAGACATATACTAAATAAATTACTTTCACTAAGTGTTCGTTTATGCTAGGTGTTTTGATAAAAGTTGATTCACTCACCTCAATTTTTAGACATCTGGCTATCAATAAAACTAATTTTATACTCTGTACCTGTATTACACTACTCCATATCAGTATAGAGGGTTTGTGAGATTTATCGCATTTAGCAGTTTATACCGCAGACTGACCTCAGACAACAGATTATTGTCTAAGGCGTCCGTAATGCGAACGACTGCTCTTCATAATTGTCAGGTGTTAAATCAGTAATCGGCTAATGTGCTTGTTCTTAAGCTACTTTTTTAGGTGTTACTACATGACTGCCCAAATATCGGTTCCAAACCTGTGACTTTGAGATTAATGTGATGTAGCCCAGTCACTAAACCCTATCTACCCGTTTAGATTTTTAATAATTAATCGAAATTCCAAGTGACGGAAATATTTTCTGGTCATTCATTGTCTTTTTTTGTTGTGGCTACGGTGTTTTTTAGCGTAAAAGTGTAGTAGAAGAAAACTCAGTGATGGCCAAACCAGACCAAAGAAATTACTTTGTAAAACCATTACTTACTGGTTCGTCTAATTTCAGCTGTTTTCTTAAATGTGTTGAAAGGCTGGTAGTTGGAGACTAGATTATCTGTTTAAGAAGTTTTAACTGTGCAGACTGTCTTCTTAACAGCTGTAAACCACAATAGTGCGGTTATCACGTCCTCTTCCTGAGATATTGATAGGTAATAGTCTTTTACATGCTCTTTTTACTGTCATCCCCGTTCATTTGATTCGCCTACCACCTGTTCATACTTCAAATAAAATGTTAAGAATACGTTCGTGAAAAAATTAGCTAAGAATTAACCCTATTATGAAGATCATACCAAAAAACCTTGGACTTACCTACAGATCTGTTTAAAAAACCATGCTATCTGTTAGCAATTTTAATCAGACATTACCATTCGTTTAGTCACACAACACATTCCCATAGCCATCCTTAATCGCATTTCAGGAACTGAAGGTGACATTTGGACACGTTAACCAAGACGTTTGCTTGGTAGTGTCTGACTTTGAATCATCATTTACGTCTCGAGGGACTGCTATGTAAGCGCAGGTGATGTTAAGTGTTGGGTACTAGGTACTTATACCAAAATAATCGATGTAGTTGTGAATATTCATCGGCTGAAGTGACTGGGACAAAACAGGACGTTAGTAAACATCCCACTGTTATCTAATTTAACAGCTTAAAGTGACAAAATTACTATATAACTAATAAGAACATGTCTCCGTATGCATAACTGGCCGTTTTCTTTTTTAGCTATGTTTGACCAGTTTATCACTGTGTTAATGAATGAGTTACAAGTGGGTCCGCCACCCGCGCCAGAATCAGCCATTGCAGACTTACCTACAACTAGTTTGACTGAAGAACAAGCATTAAAGTTGGGTATTTGTTCAATTTGCTTCGATGATTTCAAAGAATCCGAATCAGTTATCAGACTACCATGTGCTCACACCTACCATCAAACTTGTGTTACAACATGGTTAAAACAGGTTAGCATTCTGTATATACTTCATTTTTTTGTAACAGTAAAAGAAAAAAAACTTAGTTCTCGCTTTATTTCAATTATCTTTAACTCGGTTGCATCGATTCTAGTCACAGGTTGGAAACTTGTTTTCTACCTAACAAATTGAGCAACAGAGTGAGACCTTTGGTGTCTCACATGTATAGTCCATGGTCTGGTGTATGAAATATATATATATATATATATATATATATATATATATTTGCTAATTCTCATTTTCATTTCGAGCTAAACATATAATTCATAGTGTAGTCAATATATTTATAGCCCTTATTGTAGCTCTTTAATTGGTTCCATGTAAGTCATACTGTTTTTTACTTTCACCAAGTTGACCGTCCAAGTACGTTTTTGGATAACGCTACTAATGAATTTTCACTGAAACTGTAGGGCGATTGAAAATTTACCGAGTTATTTGTTATTGGATTTAAAGTATTTAGATTATAGGTTCAAATCCGTTCTCTGCTATCAGAATAGTTCAGGATATATGAATATAGTTCAAGATCGTTACACCAATTAGATTATCGTCTCTGCGCCCGAATATACGATGCCGAACCTCTGCTTTACTGACATGGTGTTGCCACTGGATGTCAGCAATCATTCGGAGACAACGATGATCAAACAGAGAGTTGTCTAACATCCTAAAATTAGAGAGGCCAGGTTTCACAGGCACACAGCAAAACTGCTCTCACTGACGCGCTGTGGACCCGACCTTTTACAGCCAGACTGACATCACACACTCACGCACCACCAGCACTTATGTAGCTACCTGGATACACGAACTTCTCAACTACATCAATCTGCTCACTACCCACGGTGAGCACACGATCAGGGTCCTGCCAGTTTTGTAGTAGTACTTTGCACTTCGAAGGTGCAAAGCACATACCGTACCTATGGACACTGATTGCGAACTGATTAAGTGCGGATAGCATGGCTTGGGCATTGTCTTACAGGAAGACGATATCGTCCTCATACTCAAGGTCGAGAAGTCTTTCCCCAGGAACAGATCCACACCTCCGTTACTTACATCCATCAGAATTGTTTTCAGAAGGTATCGATGGCAAAGTTAAAGAGGAATGGTGAGATTGGGCAACCCTGTCTAATGTCACTACTTGAATGGAATAATGGAGAAAGGTGGTTGTATGCCCTCACTCTGCCTGAGGTGTTCGTATACAGGGCCTTTAAGATGTTAATGAATTCTGACCATCGTCCAAGACGTCGACAGATGTTAGTGATTGGCATCCCGTCATTTTCACAGATTGTTTCACTCACACCAGACTTCTTGCTGCCAGTGGCTCGGATGAGTTAAAAGAGCTTCCGGCAGTTACCAGATGCAGCTGCTGCTTCCATCTCATTAACACGCTCCGACCACCAGGCTTCTCGGTCCTTACACAAGCTTTGCCCAATTTCGTTGTGTAATAGCCGATTTCTCACTTTGATGAGACTTTCTAATCTAACAGCACCAAACCTATTAATAACGGGATGCAATCGATTAGTGCTTCCTGAGCTCTAGTGCTTAGTGCGACACCAACGCCAACAAGACCAGACGAAGATGCCACAGAGTCCCCGGATAAGCGCACGTGAAACAAGCTTTTTGAAGCGACAGATAGAGAGCGAATTTGTAGTACTTCACTAGAGTCTTGAATACGGGTCTCGGATAGACAACAAACATCAACAATAAGACTTTCTAAAGACATAGTCAGTCCGATCTGCATTAGTGTGCGAACGTTGAAGGAAGCCAGCTTGAACGGCGTACGTGGTTTCAGAAAGACTGGTTCAGTATTCGTAATCGGTGGAAGCATTCACTTTCGACCAGACAGTGACTAGAGATCGTTTAGATAAGACAGAGTTTCCACCATGGGCGAACTGCTGCATAAGTTGAAAAGTAAGAATACACAAATTGGGGATAAAAGGAAGTGAATAAGCGACATGGTAAATAATAATGTAAATTGTCTGGCATTTGGTAAGAGTGTGAATAGGATTGTCAGTAGAAATCATTTCATTTATTTGTGTGAGGGCTGTGATACTGCCCGGGTGCCCAAACTGAAGCAGGTGGTTTTTTAGGGGGCAGTGAGTAGGACTTCCCTAGCAGAGGCTATATACGCGTAGCCATGTGAGAGCATTTCGAGAGGGAGAGGGGTTTTCCCCTACTCTCAGCCGTACCAGGGCATTTGGGGGCCTTGTAATGTGGAGATTGTAGTTACAGAAGTTTGTTGCTAACATCCTAAACTACGGAATTTGGATGTGGATAGAAGAAAAAAGAGGAATACGTGTTACGGGCAGTCGTTTATTTCACAAATCTCACCAACCAATGAACCACAATCAAGGCCTTAACGCTTACTGGTCCCGAAACCCTTCCTAATACGGTAGCCAATCAATCTATGCAGATTAATCCTCTGTTGTACTCACTTCAGTTGTTAACTCAAAAATTTACTTAAAATGACTGACGTGACAGCACGCCAAGTAAGAAAACATACTAAAGACAATGGTAGCGGGCGGATCAAAAAGTGTTTAGTTAATTAGCAGTAACTGAAGTATAGTAGAATGTTTAGCGACAGTTAAAAGGTCCATTAAAGGCTTAAAATAAATGGAATGTAGAACTGCAGCAGTAAAGTTATTTACCAATTATACAGCAAGTTATAGATAATAATCATAACCTGACAGTTCCAACCTCTCCAGTTTTCTTCCCGTTATAACAACATGGAAAATTTGGTAGTCAAGATTAGCTCCATGTTACCATTGGATATATCATATGTATTCATTAATGCTCCCTTACTACAAACAGTCGATTTTATTTGCAGTGAACTTATGAAATGTATAGAAACTGTAATTTCTGTTTTTGTAATAAAAGAGATGATACTCAAGTACATAATAAATGTCAACTTCTAATTCAGCAATGAGTATGTACTAACGGCAGTTAGATCATGCAGTCGTATGATAACTACTAGATCTTTCAGTTCGTTTTTTTAGTAAAGCTGGAGAATAAACCGCTCAAAAACTTGAGCAATCAACTGAAATTTTCCTGTCGCCACATAAATACTTTCATGTACTGAAAAAATAGTTTGCTTAACATTTTTAAAAACGTTCACTTACATTTGCTGTAGAAAAAAAGCCGAGTTAATAGCATCTCAGTTTTAGATGCATTACTGACAAGAATAAGTGAAATTTTAAGAATGATTGTTTGCCTTTAAAATCATTAATTGACCAATGCATCCACTTGAACATTTTCTATTTCTTAAGTACAAAGGTATCCTCACTCACTGTGCTAAAGCACCTTGTTCTTATTGATACCATTGAAGATGATTTAAGTAATATCTGTAGCCATTCTTAGTAACGTTGGATATTATCCCAAATTTGTCTACACCTAAACTAGATAACAATAATATTAAAGATGTTACTTTTGTTAAAGTCGCAGTTCAAAACGTTGTCTGTGACATATTAACACAAAAGTTAAGGAGGGCTGTACAAAAAACGTCCGCTGCACCCAAACTGAATGAGCCTGTTAACAATCATCAAACAACTACTAACAAAAAATGTCGAAATTCGCTACATCCATGCGTGTGTATCATTTTTGTTGTAAAGCCAGTTATACAGAAAGCGAAATTTAGCAAGTTCATTATTGTATCACTGAACATCATCTGACCTGGGTGAAATCGAAAACACAAGGTCAAATAAAAGTTCAATTTTCTCACTTGATTGACGCAGCATCATGCTGATTCAAATACAGCTCTTCGTGTTATTCACCGCATGACTTACGGTTCATGCTTTGCACACCAATTTCATATTCACTGACTTTTGTGTTCAAAAATGTTTGTACAATCCTTCTTTCTAGTTTGGTCATCGAAAAAAGTCATACCAAAGCGGAACTTGGATTCCCTCCTTTTTTCTTAGTTGTTCTATATTCCACTTTTTATTCCAACGTAACCTTGACATTTGTCTCTTTAATTCTTACATAACCAATACTAAAATAATACCAAAATATTTTGCTAGTTTTCTTATCAGGTATTATGTAACCCGTTGACCATTGAACTGCATGCTTTCGGTTTCCACAAGTAAACACTGATCATTATGGTTGTTTTATCCCGCTCCTTCCAGTTTCTTTGTCATTTGATATTCTTTTCATAATCACGTGTGAAACTATTATTATAAGTCATATATATATATATATATATATATATATATATATATATATATATATATATATATATATATATATATATATATGGTGAGAGGCCGTAATTAGAGACTAATGGAAAGAAAATATTTTTCTCCTTATTCATCACATTATTTTTCTTGCAAAACAATAAAAAAATCGTACTTTTCAATTTCCGATTTTTTAGCACGGAACTTGTCCAGTTTGTCGAAAGGATTTATCCGGACATGATACTTCACGATATGAGGATCCAGCTCCAAACTTAACAGGAAATAGTAATGGTTCAAGCTCTTCCACTTCTTAGTCTTCATTATTCTTTCAATTTTTTTAAAATAAATATAAAACCGTGAATTATATTCATTAAATTTGTCTATTTTCACACAAACACTTCAGAAACAAGCCAGCTATACATATATATATCCCTCCAGTAAACTGTCGTCGAAGTGTATCAGCGAGATGCTGTATAGTTTCACCATTTTCTCTTTTTTCCTGTCTCTTCCCATTGTGTAGCATATTTTTTTCCTTGTGTATGTATGATGAACCCAACCAGCCCTGTGTTAATTTGTGTTTGATAATTTTTTCCCTGTTTCTTCCGAAATCCAACTTTTCTATTAAGATTTATTTTTACCAAGATTGTTGCATTATCTTACCCAATTAATTTCACACTGACTATTAAATGCATCCATCTTTGTTTTTTTTCATTATTATTATTGTTCTTTTATTCACCAGCTTCGTGATATGACTACTACTTGCTTTCTAAGCCCCACTCCACCTTTTTGCAAAAATAAAAGTAAATACCCAGAAGAGGGTTTTTCATATTTCTCTACTTGTATTGTAGTAATTGTCACTTAATTATCAATCAATAAAAATAAAATGACGAAACGATTTTTCCTTTGGTTCAGTTTGATTGATTATTTCATCCGCTTTTTCAATTCTCATTTCATTATGTTGTCAATTACTATTGCGTATCACAGCATGGATATACAGTTAAGTATTATTGAAATTTCAGTTCAGTATCTATGTCATATGAAGAAAACTTGAGTATATATAAAAATAATTGCCTTATTAAATGTTTCCACAATTCCTATAATTTATACTTTGTTCAAGATTTATTTTGATTCCTTGCTTCTTTAAACAATCCGTAAAGGGACTTGAGATTTATTTGATTACCCTGTCCCAAAATAAATCAATCTGACTGGACATGTCAATAATAAAGGTTGGTAGAAATATTCCTGCACCCTTTCATGTTTGACTATCAGTCTCAGTCCTCATTATTGTATTAGAGGACTCCACTACTCAGTATTGTTTCGTCACTAATCAGCTTTTCTGTCAATATATTTGTGCTCTATTTTCATTAAATGGACCAAATCCGGTTTAACCATAAATGTGTAATCTATGTCTTCAATAGAACACACGTTTGTGAATGATTGAGGTGCAACTTGCACCTTATCACCAGTCTGGTATCATAGACCAATGGTTGTTAATTTTCAACTTGAATTTGTTTAACTAGGACAAAGTTTATTTGGTAAGTTACTCGATTTAAATTTACACTCATCCGATTTATTGTGACACATGAACTTCACTTACATTCCATTCTACTTTTTGTTGGGTTTCGAATATGTCAAGTGCAATGTTCTTCAGTACAACACAATGATCAGTCTACGTTCCTTAATATAACATTTAAAGGAATGAATAGTTGGTCGATCATCTGATTCCTTCGGAATTAATAGAAGACTTAACTCCTACTTATACTCTGGTTGGAATTATTATAAAGACTAACCCTTAAAATTGGGTACTAGTGTGGTAACCTTCTGTGTTATTTACCTCATGACAGTACTGACCAACATCAGTGCTTTCTAATCAATAGTACAGTCCCTGATTTCCCAGACACTTGTTACTGCTAAGGGAATAGCCATATCGCGAGTGCAGATCTTAACATATAAACTAAGACTGACAATTACTATTACTACTTAATACGAGTCGGTTACATTTTCTCCTTGTGACTCCCTTTGAGTAGTAGTAGGTATTACGGCTAATTATATTCAAGTTATTTGTTTTTGCCCTTGTATACTAAAATTCTTTCACATATTGTCCTTAACACAAAGGGAGCTATATAGTATTGTATTCATGAGTTTTAGTTCCTTTTTTCAGGAATAATTTCACATGTTACTTCAGTGATAGTTATTTTTAAATTATACAATAGTAATAATAAGTTTACTTAACTGATGAGCAACTGAGTATATTCGACAAGCTACTATTTTATTGAAATAAAGCAAGAAGGACAATATCAACTGAATAGTTTTAATTCGTTGTACTTCATTGCTTTGTCTTCATATACATATGAGCTAATAAGTTTGGTTATTTCAAGTTATCAATGCCTAGGAAAATCAACTGTTAATCAATCATATGGTCTAACTATACTGGAGAGGTATACCAGTTACTAATTGTTTTGTACTCTGAGGATTTGAAAATTACATGGGCATATTAATTTTATTTATGAAGTTTTGCTGAGCGTGATTCTGAACATTTTCCATCGGTTATTCACATGTAGGTAAAACAGTTTTTTGTATATGTTGTAAATGAACGTCTCCTGTTATGGCATAGATATCAGAAAACTATTGATTCTGTTTTAAGTTAAGTCAAATGTTTCATTGTTGTGTTGCCTATATTTTGTTTTGTATAAGCAAAGATTGATTGAAAATAACAAGTTATGGAATTCTAATTTTCAATTCAATGGTCTAAAGGTGTTCAAATCACAAGACTAGAGGATTTTGGGTTCGAATCTATTTTGGATCATCAATGCAAAATGCGACGAAACAGGGATTTGATGTTCCTCTTTGTTTAGCAGGTTCGCTTCAGATGATATTACTCTATACTGAAAATTACTTTATTTTGTTGCATTTCTGCAAAACCACATCTGTATATAGAATTTCACCAGACCCAATTTTTAGGTTCAATCCAAAACGGGACTCATCATCGGATACCGGATTTTCATGATGATTTCGAAAATAATGTGAAAAAATAGAGAAACTGATCCTCTGTTGACTTCCATGGTTTACATCACAGACTCACCTTAGGCAACCACTAAAAACCTGAAAGTACTGAACAATTGTATTGTCTTTGTATAGCACTCCTTAGGAGTACTGCACATCCACAATTCCACCAGGAGTCGAACGTTGAACCCTAACATCTCATAGCGAGCGCTTAACCTCGAGACTATTGAGCTGATACCCAATCGTTAACAGGTCTGATTGCGGTCTATTCGCGATGTTCCTCAACCATCCTCCATTGTCTTCAGTGAGTAACTGCCTTACATCTGACAAACTCCACTGATAACGGTTTCTCACTATAGATTCGCTAATTACCTCTCAAAATTAGTCATTAGTGACCATGTGATAATCTTAATATAACGCAAATAAACTATAAAAAACCGATTACATTAAAATAATAATAATTCGCCATTATTATTATTTAAAGGGTAAATCTACCAATGACTGTATGAACTGATAAGTTATATGATCAAGTTATAAGTTAAGTAAGTATTGATTCACATATATTTTAACCAACCAAGTTACAATTTAAAAATAGTGATATATTAATAAGACTTGTGAAATTAACAATAATCAATAAATTAATAAAAATTTTCTTGAAAAAAGGATTGTTTCCAAATTAAAGTCTTACTCTACAATATACAGTATAGTTTCTATATAATCAGTTTATTACAAGTGAACAGAAGATAATCTCACTTTTTCGACTTATAATTTAATCTTAATCCATAAGGTGATCATTTCGGAAACCTTCGTCGTATTACGGAAGCAATTTTTACAGCGAATTCACGTAACATTGAGAATTAGTGAGCGAAAAAGAACGATGGGTACAATGCTTGTCTAGTCGATAGGAGTGTGTGGTGATAAACATGTGTACAATAGTAACTGACCTCAAGAAAATATGATAAGATACTCTAGTCTGTTTTTTTCCAGATATTTTGAAAGCGTGGTAGTTATCAACTGATCACACTGCGTCAACACTGTTGTATTAAGAAATCAAAAACACTTGATGGGATTCCTACTTAGGCAAATTCTATGGGGTTGTTGCTACACTATCTGTCTTCACTTGGATTTGTTTGTGTGTATGGGATTGAAGGGATGGATCATCTGCAAAGTCGTCTAGCTGCATCCAAGCAGTTTATTACATCCTCTGCCTCTCCCGAGATGTGAAGATCTTCATAATCCAGTCAACCACCAGTAGAAAAAGAAGAGGAGAGAGTGAACGGCTTTGTTTGACACTGGTCTTCACTTGGAATGCATTAGTTTGCACTGTAGAGCGTCGTACGAATTACGGATGATGTTGACAATCTTCTCAGGAACTCCATAGTATCGAAGAAGTTTTCATAATGTTTTCCTGTCCACACTGTCAAACGCCTTCTCATAGTCAACGAAGTTGATGTATAGTGACGAGTCCCATTCAACTGATTGTTCCACGATGATTCGTAGTGTCGCAATTCGGTCTGTGCACGATCGATCCTTACGGAATCCAACCTGTTGATCTCGAAGTTGGGCGTCTACTGCATCTTTCATCCGGTTCAGTAACACTCTATTGAAAACTTTTCCTGGTACTGACAACAGTGTGATGCCTCCGTAATTCTCACATTTTGCTCAGGTTTCCTTTCTTTGGTATTTTGATGGGGTGTCCTTCTTTCCAGTCCGTCGGCACTTGTTCTTCCTTCCAAATCTTGAATAGAAGGTGGAGCATTTTTGCAGTTAATTCAATGTCTGACTTCAGTGCTTCAGCTGGTATACTGTCAAGTCATGCTGATTTCAATAGGTGATGGAGTGACAACTATAGGAAGGTCTGTAGGTGCTGCTTCTGTGTTCAGTGGGGCTGGTCTGCTCAAGAGTTCTGCAAAGCGCTCCACCCACCCATTCCGCTGTTCTTGGATTCTCGTGATTGGCTTGCATTCTTTTTTTCTGGTTGGTCGCTCTGGTTTGCCATATTTCCCTACTACTATCTTCATTGTTTCATGTTTCCTTCTCTTGCAACCTTTTCCGCTGTCGTTGCTAGATCTTCCACGTATTCTTAATTGTCCACTCTGATGCTCTTCTTCACTTGTTTGCTTCAGTGTATTCAGCTTGCACCTTGACTTTGTTCTTGCTCGGCTGTTGTTAATTGTTGTCTTCTTGTTATTCCTTTCTTGTATCTTGTCTAGTGTTTCCTTAGAGGTCCATTCCTTATGATGATGCTTCTTCGCACCAAGAACCTCCTGACACGTTGAAGTTAGTGCTTTTATCCCTTTCCGGTTGTCCTCCAAAGTAGTTTCTTGTTCATTCAGTAGATCTTGTAGAGCTTGGAACCTGTTGTTGAGAGTTATCTTGAACTCATCTAGCTTGTCAGTATCTCGAAGGAAGATTGTATTGGACCTTTGTAGTACTATTTGTCAAGTTGTCCAGTGTTTCTTTAGCTTCAGTCTCATCTTGGCCACAACCAGGTGGCTTTTCACATCTTCCATTATCCTTCTAAGCTTTTCATGGACACATATGATCTATGTGGTTCTCCGTGGTGTGATCCGGTCAGACCCATGTGGCTTTGTGTTTGTGTGGGGATATTGTGCTGCCTATAACAATTTTGTTGAGTGCACATAAATTTGCAAATCTCTCCCCATTTTCGTTTCTCTCTCCTAGTTCATGTCGTCCCATTATATCTTCATATTTTGTGTTGTCCATTTCGACTTTGACGTCTAGGTCTCCCATCAGGATGGTGAGATACTTTATTATGCACTTCGCTATGATTGATTGCAGCCTCTCATAGAACTTATCTTTCTTATCGCCGTTGCTATCATTGGTGGTGCATAACATTGGATAACATTCATTGTGATCTTCTTTGTTTTGATTGATGATTCTGGGTCCACGAGATCCCCATCCTATAAGTGCATTACGTGCTTCTTTGAGCAGTATCAGTGTGATTCCGTGTGTGTGTGTGTGTGTGTGTGTGTGTGTAGAGCATTTACTTCTTCATGACCAAAGTACAACAGCATCTCTCCCGAATCTAATCTTTTCCGCTCAGCTTGGGTCCAATTGGTTTCACTTATTTCGAGAACCGCCAATTTGTATCTCCTCATATGTGCAGCTAGTTGATTGGTCCTTACGGTCTACTACATTGTCCGGAGATCCCATGTACTTACATAAATTGTTGCTCTGGTTGTTAGGAGGAGCATTTGCCCCGTGACCGAAAAATCTTGGCTTTCACCATGAGGCGTCATTATTCTTCTGAATGAAGATTTGTCAACTCCCATGACAGAGTTTAAATGGTATTTTCTGGTAAGTGTGTTATAACAAAGTTGTTTTCTTTGTGGCGAGGTTGCTGACTCCATGCCCAACCTTTCTCCTTTACCCCAGGCTTGGGATCAGCAGTAACCCTAGAATAGCAACAGGTGGAGTTATACCAAGCACAAGGCCATATAAAGAACTTAGTGTTATTTTGTTCTCAGTCAAGTACCCCTTATCGTGTTAGGCTGTTGAAGGCATTCGTTAGGAATCCCTCCTTAGCTTAGGTTTCGTATTAGTTGCACGTATCAGAAAGGTGTGGCTTCACTGATGACAAAACTGTTGATCTCTGGTCGATTCGAATCGGGCCAGCTGTTCACATTTATGGGAAAGTACTATTGAATTGTTAAGGCCACGACATACCTATTAGGCTGAGCTGATTCACTAATTGATCAGTGGGCATACCTTTTGTATAACATTTGATTATATGTGAATTCAATGTGACATGTTTAATATAATAATATAACAGGGCAAGAATTAAGCCGTTAGTTTTTAATTCATGTGATAGTAAGCGATCTATACAAGTGACATTCTGCAAATGCTCATGCCCTCAAATGCCCTAGTATGGCCGAGAGTTGGGAGAGTCCGCTCTTTCTCTCGAAATACTCTCACATGACCACGCGTTTATAGTCTCTGCCAGGGAAGTCCTACTCATTACCTTCTCGTGACATTACTGCTGTTTACGAAACTGAGAGGACGAAAAGCGAGTGTCCAGCACTTTGACCAGGCCGACAAACAGTGAGTCCACCTAAGGGAGTTGGGAAACCTTGATTTCAAATAAATAGTTCACATGGGCTCCAGCATCCTTAGGGAACAAATGGCGTATGAATCAATTATGGGTCACCGGCTACCATGGGACTTCATCCCCTGACGTTGCTCCACTACCTCGTGGTTTAGACCTTTAGGTCAAAGGCACTG